CCCGCGAATCCCCCCGGCCAGCATGGCTGGCTGGGGAATTCTGGGAGTTGAAGTCCAGACATCTTAAAGTGGCCAAGGTTGAGAAACAGTGGCATATATATACCAATGCCTGGTCTAGAGAAAGTGGACAGAGTTTTCTTCCCTCTGTTCAAACCCTCGGGCCAACAGCCCTTGAATGAAGCCAACTGGAAGGTCCTTTCAGGGCACATAATTCAGCCATAGAATTCATGGCCACGAGATGACCACTAGCCTGGAATGGCTTTAAAGGAATACATCAATTCAGGGAAGAAAGGTTCATCAAGATTTTCCAGCCATACTATCTTTGAGATGGGGACAGCATGTCCCTCAATGCCAGTTGCAGAGGAAGAACAGTAGGAGATGGGGGGGCTCCCTTTCCTGCTGGCGAGCCCCCCCAGGGGCACCTGCTCGGCCATGGTGAGAAGCAAAATGGAGGACTGAGAGAGACTCTGGCCTGGCCAAGCAGGGCCCTTCTTGTCTTCCTCGACAAAAGCCTTCCTTTCCCGCTCACGTCCTCTGGCAGCAAGTACCAGGAGTCTCACTGGCCCAGAATGTGGAAACGGGCAGGTAAGGTGATGAACACCCTCAAGCAGCTGTCTCAGCCATTAATTCAGGGGCTCCCAACCTGGGGTGCCTGCACCCCAGGGGTGTGAGATGAAATTTCAGGGGGTGCGAAAGCCATTTTATGCACTGAGTTAAAAGCTTATTTTTTTTTAAGTTCAGTTTGTTCACCCGCATTAGAAATTACACTTCTTCATCTCCAAATGCGATATTACTTTCGGAGGGGGTGTGAACATTAATCAAACCTTTCCTAGGGGTGTGCAGCGTAGAAAAGGTTGGGAACCACTGCATTAATTGTTCTCTCTTCATGTGAGCAACTGTCACCTACAGGCGATCATCTGGCTGACCATTAGAAGCCTGTATGGGGAGGTACCATCTGCGAGAAACCTCGAGGTTGCAAATTCTTCAGTGGCATCTCGTGTCTCTCCCTGGCCCCAGCCCTTCCTTTTCAGGTATTTTAATACTTAGGAGAATCATCTCTCGAGGAGGAAGAAGCCGCTTACCTCTGGACTTCTTGACGTCCGGCTCCGGCTCTGATTCTCGAATGAACTGGCCCAGGTCGCTCACACGGCCAAAAGTCATCTTTCTGCAGCAAGAGGGACAGTGGCTTACTAGCTATGGGGGGGGGGTCGCAGCAGAGAGGGAGGGCTTGTGACAAAGAAGCCAGCCAAGTCCGCGCACGCTCAAATGGCTCCTGTTTTCTTGGAGGGCCTATTTTTCCCCCATTCTGGAAGAAGAGGGCCTTCTTCTCTGACCTTCAGGCAAGAGGTGTAAAGCAATTTCGAGCTGACCATGGGGAAGGTATGAGAGAGCCACGAAGGAGGAATTTGAACAAGATTACATAGCTTGGCACTAGAAGGAAGTGAGAATGAAACCCAAAATAATTGCATCTTGGATTTTGATATAAGAGGGGACCGAGAAAAACTTGGACAGGTTTTCAAGGTTGTTATACTACCCTTCATCATTCCTTAAAATGGCATTCTAACAAGATGGATGTCAGCCCTTCGTGGAAGGCCTGATCAAGAAACAGTCATGGCAGGAACTCTGGGAATGTGCCTTTCCTGTTATGGGGCAGAATAACTGAATCTTGAAAGCCTGCCAAGTTTGTAACTTCTTATTCTAAATAAAATCAAGGCGGGGTTATCTTGAGTTTCCTTCTCACCCTTCCTTCTATGTCTGGTAATCGCTTCTGCAAGTCCTTTCTTAACAGCTCCCTCCTATCTTCCCCAAGCTCAGCTCTAAATTCCTTGACCAGAAGGTACCATCCAGATGATTAGATTAAGCCCAGACAAACATTTTAAAAGCAACAGGCCCATCGCAGGTTTTTGCAATTGTCAACTGACCCCCTCTGACTGTAGGAAAACAATTGCATTTGCTCCCACCGGCCTCTCGGCATGAAGGAACCTTACCCAGCGTACGTCCGTTGATACAGAGACTCTGGGTCCAGGCTGGCAGCATCAACAATTATTGCTTCATCAAAGTTTTTCAGGATTTTTACGTTGGCCTTTTTGAGGCTGGGCTGCGAGGCAAAGTTCAGATGTTATTAACCAGAGCACGAGAAAAGACAAGAAAAGGAAAAGGAAAAAGAAAAACATACAACTGAACAACCTGGATCAAGTTTTCATAAAAGGACAATCTAATTCTAGAAGGATCCCTATTGTTTGCCCCACCACTAGTCTGTAGCAGAGAACTGGTGGTGGCACTGAGGGGTCTGCAGAAATCACAGCCTGGCTGCCTTGTGTCTGGCAGAGCTTGTCTCGGGGTACAAAAAGGGAGCTCCCAGATGGAGCCGCACCACCATCCCTCTTGGCCCAAAACTTCCATCTTCCATCGCCAGAAGCTGGGCTCCACAGCACAGGGCTGTCTTTCCTAATCTCTCCTTCAGGTGGGCATTGTGGCAGATAATGGGGGAATACCAGGTTGGAGGATGCAGTCTCTGTAGCTAAAGAGACTGGCCTACAAATCTTGGCCATAAACTTACTAAGCTTAAGGCAAGCAAGCTGTTTCTCTGAGCTTCAGTCTTCCTTCACCCCATCTGCAATATGGGGATAATAGTTTTGCAGGAAATCAAAATGCCTTAAAGGCCCAAACCCATCGTATAAGAATGATAGTTCTTTTGGTCAGCCTCACTTCCCCCCTCCAAGCTGACCCGTGCCTCTCACCGGCTGCCTCCAGCAGCAACGTTGGTGGCGGCATCTGCAGCAAAGTGGAACGACATCGCCGCACAAGTCCTCCTTATATGTGCCTGTCTCATGAAACTACGGGGGCACAGGGCTGGTGTAGTGGCATTAATGCACACATTTGTTGCAAAGGCACATCTTGTTCCTTGCTTGCTGGCAAAACACAGGCCAGCAGGCTTGTTTTCTGCCTGTGAGTGCCAGCTACTAGCCAAGAGCAGACTGGTTGCAGCTGGTGGCCTGTTTTTTGCTGGCCAGCAACAATTAAAGCACCATTTAATTTCTAATTTTAATCGGCGCTCTTGGCTTTGAGGTTTTATTTTCTCACGGTTAAACTGCCTTCATTGGCTATACTGCAGAGGCCCTTAAAAATAAGTCATCGGGGTTCCCGCGAAGAGGGAGTAGAAGACCCCAAGCAGACTTAGGGGCTTTTGGGAAGGAGACAACCTAGTCTCAACCGAGCACCTGGGAAGAAGCGGCGCTGTCCGCAGCACCCGCGTGGGAATAGTGGTCGGAAGCGCTGCCAAGGCTGTGAACGTTCAGGGCGAGACTTCCGCTTGCAAATTCATCTCCCCGGACTGAATGGATGAGGTCGTTCAAGTATTTGTAATAAAGATTGCTGGACAGAAAGCTGGGTAAGAAAACCTGCAGGATGAGAGGGAGTGGGAGAAGGGGAGTGACAACCAGCACATCCTTTGCATGCGGAGGGTACCTGTTTTTTGTCTCAAGGTAGAAAAAGGATGGGGTAGTTTTTATTTGCTATTATTATTAAATTTACATGGCGCCTGAATAAACTCAGTTCAGTAGCATTGCTCCCACGGAGGTCAGCAAAAGTTGACTGCACCTTCGCTTGACTTTCTTTACTGTTTTACTTAGGAAGACTCTAAGATGACCGCAAGAGCCAGTTTGTAGTAGTGGTTAAAGGCACCAGGCTAAAAACTGGGAGTTGTTGTTGTTCAGTCGTTAAGTCATGTCTGACTCTTTGTGACCCCATGAGCCATATCGTGCCAGGCCTTCCT